AGAGTTTTACTCGCCCCTTTTGGATACTACGATTCCGCTGTGAAAAAAGCATCCGCAGCTATCTTGCAACTGCCGTGACCCAATAGCTTGCAGTTTGTATGGTTACCTTTCAGCTCGTGCGCTTGGAACGCGTTTGGACTTGTGGCCTTTGTTGGGAATGGGCTTCGTTTCGGGCGGCAGGAATTTTGGTCTGGGGTTCCCGGCTTCAATCAAATTCGCAGGGGAAGTCAGAAGCACCACCTGGTTTTGGGTGCATAGGTTTTGAGCAGCGTCCCCCGCCCATTTTTTGGTGCGGGTGGCGGTGATCGCGATCTTGTGGGCGTGGCAGAAGTCCACGATCTCTTGCTGCCACGGGGGGATCCAGGGGTGGTACTGGATCTGGTGCACAGCAATGGGCGCCAAATTCCTCGAAATGTCGCTGGATTTCCAATTGGGTTCACTGGCTTCCATTGAATCTGCCACGAAACGGAGGCTCCAAGGGAGAGGAAACCTTGCCGATCTCCAAAAGCCAGACCCTCTCGGGATTTTGACTGAGGCCCATGGTAAAGGCCTCAAACCTCAACCAATCCAAAATAAAACCGAACAAAGGCAAAGGCACAACCAACCGAATCAACCAAACAACCAACAAACCAAAATCAACCAAAAAGTTTTGACAACCCCCCGCCCGCCACACCAACCAACCCACCCACCCCAACCCACCCAATCCCAACCCACCAAACAATCGGTTCATTGAAACAAACCAAAACCAAAAAACCAAAACCAACCAAAACCAACCAAAACCAAAAGACCAAAACCAAAAGACCAAAACCAAAAAACCAAAACCAAACCAAGCCCCAGCAACTTGAAAAGCTGAGGCTCAGGGACTGGAGTTCCTGCATCTGCTCCACCCTGAAGTTGCTCACTCCCGCATCTCCGATCACCCCCGAGGCTCTCAGCTCGGACAAGGCCTGGGCGTTCCCGAACCAGCCGCCGACTCCCCACGCAACGGGGGGGGGGGGGGGGAACCCCGTGGGTTTTCCCAAATGATTGCTCTGGTTCCCCTTAGAAACTCCCTTTGCCAGAGACCACATGTCCACGCTTGTGCCATGTATCCAAACTTGGACCAGTAGAGCGGGACCTCCGAGGAAGTTTGCTTAACATGTTGGTCGGAGCTCAAAGGATCGAAGTGTGCTTGGTATGTTAAACGCCAACGTTTGGTCTATGTCAAATCTCGCCTGCAAAAGCCCGGAAACTAAAGCGTGAACCTTGTGAACCTTGAATCCATATGGGCTAATGCGAGAAACCAACCCAAACCAAACATACACTAAACCCTAACACGCATAAACCTAATACGCCTGCTCGAACCCACCCATAGTTGCTTGAACATGCTTTTGTTTCAGCCCAAAGAAACTTGGTATAGCGATGCCTGCTACCCGTCGACCGCCGAATCTCCGGGCCTTCCAGGTGTTCTTGCGGCACGCGACTTGGTTCCGGCCTCACAAATCGATGCGAGGGTGCGGATCGATGCGAGGGTGCGGAATCTGGTACGAGCTGTCACCAACTAGTCCCACTTAGGACACGTTTCATATTCAGTCAACCTTAAACTGTAACATATCTTCTGAGGAGACCCCTCAACCACCCAAAGCTTTGTGTTGAATTGCCATGTGGCAGCTTCCTTGCAACCCAGCAGGGCATGCTCACAAAAATCCACTTTCGGCTGGAAATGAGGCTTAGGCGGGGTTCTTGGACAGGGTTGTCCATGTTCCCGCTTAAAACATCACCCTTACCACGGGAGCTTGGGCACAAAGGGCGAGGTGCTAAAACCACCAACCAAAAAAACTCGGGACCTAAATGTAGGCAAAGTGGGCTCAGGGCAACGCCGGCAGACGCAAATGACAACTATAGTTGGACTCCCCATTTCCCATGGGGGACTACAATTTTCCAGGTTCAAAGACCTAACGGGCCCCATAACAGGACGGATCAGTGATTAAAGAAACAGAAGTCACAAGCCTCTGAAGAGCCCTGTTGGCCGCCCTTCAGGAACAAGGGACTATCGTTTCAACCAAATATGCGGCTTTTTTAGGTTCCCTTGGCTTGGTTCACCAGGAAACCTGACAACCGGAGCCGAGGCGCAGTCATTGCTCCAGAACTCATCCGTGGAGCTGTTGAGGTACATCTGATATGCCGTCCAGGGGTGGAACTTCCGAGGCGCGTGCAGCAAAATTAAGTCGATGTACTCCTGAACGGCTTGGACCGTTCGGCTTGCTTAAACCATCCGGTGAAACAAGGTGTGCTTGGACAATGCCGGTTCTTCATCACTTGACTAAGAGGCTGTACATTGCTGTTGGCAGCATTTTTACCCGAACCTGGGCTGAAGCCGTGCTTTTTCCCGCAGACACGAAGCACGCAGCGTTTGCAAGACCTGAGCCTCTGCGATGTGGATGTGGCTTGCTGAACCCCAGACCACGGAAACTATCCATGTTTTGCAAGTGGTTTTCTTATTTGCTGGTAGTTCATCCGCCTTGATCCCGCTTCCCTTCCCATCCGAGGCTTTTCAGCCCCCAAGTCAAAATCAGGGGGAACTCCAGTGGAAGTTCCTGGCAATATCAAGCCTCAACCAAGCCTCAATTTCAAGCAATCCCCACCTCAAGTATGCCTTCCATGGTACTTTGTACCTGGCTGGGCCACAAGTGAACCACCAACAAGCGCTGCCTCACTCCTTCTAAAATAATGTATATATACATATATGCATAAATTTCACATATCTGGAATTTTCTAGTTGCATGCCTTCGGAGAATTCAAGCAGTATGGCACGGCTGGGCTCGTGCACAAGAGTCCCAACCCTGTGGACCATTCGCTCAAAATCGCACAGGATGTGGGATGCAGGGGCCAGAGGTGGTCGAGCAGGTCATTTGGTTCCAGGCTGGTGGTCAGGATCATAGACGTATGCATTCGGTCGTCCAAAGAATTCAAACTTATCGAAGGAACCATCTGGACATTTCACAGTTTTCAAGCTCTGGATGAACCTTTCGGAGTCACAGGTAATAAAGTCCACTGTGACCTTTTCTGCTTCAATTTTGCTCAGCCACTGCTCCCAAACTTGTTGTGCAGTGTAGCTTCTTCCATCGTGAGAAGTGCCAATCTCCTCAGCACTTCCATGCCCAGAAATCAGGAGCACATCATCCTTCTTCATTGAGCTAAGACCTCTGCCGGTTGTGGACACTGTGCGAATTTCATCCCACAAGTCCGGGCGCTTCTCCTTTTCAATTTCGACCAACTGCGCGGGCATTACAACTTGTCCCTTGCCGCCCTCCAGCGAAACCCCGAGGATGAAGAGACTTGGCATGATGGCTTTCCTATGACTTTCGGATGCCTTTGAGCCAAATTTGGGCTAAACGTTGGGTTGCCAAAAAAAAAGTATCCACGAAATTGGTAGATGCTAGTACTTAACCATCCCATTTTGCGCACGAGGTTGTTGATTCTAATACGTTCATTGGTTATTGCGTTTCAATTCATGAACCCATTGTTGAATCGATGGTCAAAACGAGTCCCCGGTTTACACAATGGCTTGGTTTTGGAGGATATGTTTTCCACGGGCATCTGAGCATGGACAAAGTGGTTCCCCTGAAGATCACCTCCGCACCCCCCCCCATAGGTGATTTTCCTCAAGCTACACCATGACACAATATGGGGTTGCAATGTTGTAAGTGTCCTAACCCCCTTCAGGAAACACCTGCGCTCTTTTGCCCGGTCCCATGAGCCTTGAATCTTGCCCATTGGGCAGGCCAGCATCCCTGCAAAACAGTGTGGACAAGTGGCCTTACTACTCCTAAAGGTGTCTTTCCGGGTTCTATACCTCCCAACGCAGACAAACGAGAGCAATAACAAGACACACACACACACAAACAGACCATCTGGCTCATTACAATACATCACGAACTGGAAATCTGGAATTCGGGCCAAGCACGTTGGAAACCAGATCCGTGAACTCGTTCTAAATTTGCTAAACCAAAATACAGCTCCACTGGCACTGAACATTGGCCCAAACAGTGGCATGCTTGAGATGTCCAAACTGCTGGTTATGGTTCCTAATGTAGAACGTGATTCGTGAACCCCCTCTGATTAAAGACGCCCGGTTTTCCCAGCCGACTGCCACTAAAGGCGCCCACGAGGTTTGGCCACAAAGAGCTTTTTTGGGGCACCTCTCAGAACACCCTTTGATTAAAGTCGCCCTTTGGGGCCAAAAATTCAGCAAAAGTACTAAAATCATATCTTTTTAATTACCAAAGCTAGTGCCGATACTTTTGCCAATACTAACTCCTTTCAGTGTCTTAAGGGCTGCCATTCCAGCCACCAAAAACCAGCAAATATCTTATTACAAGTTGCCTAAAAAAAGAACAAGGTTGGCAAGCTCGATAAGGGTACCCCCCTTCAAGGCTAGGCCACCCCGAAAAAAACAAAACCCCTATTAATAATCAGGTCCCTCTCCAGCCGGGAAAATCAAACATTTTTGTGCTTTCCTATTGGAGTTCTATTGACAGGACAAACACAGGAACCGACCGGAGAGGACAGGCCACTTTCGGATTAGTCCGAGGGAGGGGGGACTAGGCAAGTTCCACCAGTAGTATGAATCTTGCCATGGGTGGTCGAAAACCCCTAAGCATAGATTAAACCACCAGGTATACCAGGGGCATATTTTTCTAGCAAAACAACCAAAAGGACATCTATGGTCCCAAAGACACTTCCAGAGAGCCTGGGTTAAAGAATCCGTTCCCCGATTCGAGTCACCCCGACGGCGTATCGTGCTCCTGATCCAGCTCCTTGAGCATTCGGTCCTCAAGAAATGGAGGCCGAAGCCACTGCAACACCGCGGGGCAGGGTGTGGACACTTGGAGAGTATTTCCCCGCAAAACAAAATTCTGCACATGACCGAACGGGTTCCACCAGCAAGTAGATGGCACGATTTCCATCTATGAAGAAGGTAATCAAATGGAATCAACCTAAGTGTTGGGGGGGAGGAAAGGGGAGCGCGCGAGCTCTCCTTGCCCCACCCCAACCCTCCATGCAGTGTTTCCCCGTACCATGGGACATGGCCACAGGTCCTTTGGGTGTGAGCTCCACCTGCGAGCTTGCGTTGCAGGTGCCAAACCGCAAAACCCGATGCTCACTTTGTCAAAAGCGTAGTAGAAGGGGATACCTACATATATATATATGTATGTATATATAAATATATATGTATATAGAAATATATATATATATATACATTTACACGTCCAAGGGAGCTTTTTGCGCCTAGCAGGGTGGGGCCAACCCTTGCAGTACGACTTGACCACCAAACCGTTCAAACAATTAGTTGCTGATTCCCCTTTCAAGGAATGTCGGGTTGCTCCTTTGAGTTTCTTTTGGTCTCAGCATCCGGGGCACCACTGCATGGAGGGTGGCGTCGTAGCCGAAGTCGTCGGGAAAGACTTTGGTGGTCAGAAACACCTCCTGTGATCATCACTTGGGCCGAGTGGATCTTACTTTTGCTGAGTATTTCTTGGGCACCTTGAAGGAGGAGCATAGCCTCCATTTCAGGCTTTGAACCTGCAAAAGGGTGGGCTTCCTTTCGGTTGCGAAAAGGGTAAATATCCTCACAAGTACGTACACACACACACACCCACCTGCGGGCAGGATTGTTCAGAACATGTTTTGTTTTCTTTCTTTCTACCACTAAAATGATTTGCTGCGAAAGTTGAAAGTCTGATAAAACTGGTCGAAAAAAGAAAATTGGGCCAAACCCACGTGCCGCAGAAAAAATGATGCCCTGCGGATGACGGCGGAATCCACTACAGCAAGGAATGGCAAGGCGCAAGTCTGCCTAAGCAGCAAATGTTCAAAGCCTTAGCTTGTTTCTTTCTCATCGTCTGTCTTGATAAAACCATGTTCTTTCTACATGGTCATACCTCGTTATTGCCTTATCATATTATGCTTCCCTGACCTTATTCTTACCAAGCTGCGTTGTGCTCAAACACACGTTGTCCGAATCATTTCCTCGTACACGCAAGGGGGAGGTGCTTAAAGCGTGCGGCTCAGCACTGGTCGAAGCACAAAACAAGCCCCTCGAACCATTACTTCTTGGACAGTCCTTGAAACTTTGGCCATTAGCGAAAGCAATTGTTGGGGAGCTGGAAGGTCTTGCTCTGGATTTTACCAAGGCCAATTCCTGGGAACCAACTAGGGCCATGCCTGAATTTGTGGTGCCCGCGCGCACAGCCGCGAGTTTCTGTTCTCACTCCCCTGCACCCTGTAAATTCTACCTATCGTACAACCTCCTTCTTTCTGAGACTACTGTTCTTTGCTTTGGATTCTTGGCTAAACAACATGTTGGCTGCCTGCGAAATATGTGGCTGTGTGTTTTTTCGGAGGCTAACTACCCGGTTCGTCCAAAGGGAAGCCAAGAGGACCACCATTTACTGTGTTCAAATCCGCATGTTGACTCTCAAGGGAACCAACCATGTTGACTCCCTTCTTCAGAAAAAGGACACCCCTGCCCTCAAAAAACAGAAAACGCCTATTTCGACACATACCCATGTTGCTCAGCTTCTTCGTCCCCTCGTGTCCCAGTTCTGGGAACAGCTGCGCTCGTGTCCTCTCCTTGCGGGGCACGCCGCGCTTCTGGGCCTCCTTCAAGGCCTTGCCGATGGGCACGTGGTTCCTTGGCACGGGAACACGTTTTCTTGCCCAGGCGACGGCAGGCTGCAGTCCTTGCTTCCATTTACCAGGGTTCCATTTAGGCACCTATGTTTGACCCATGGCCTGGGTCTGGCGACAAATTTCGTGAAGCTCTACAAGTCATACAGGGTGCAGGGAACCCAACACAAGTCCACAATGTCGGCGAAAATGAAACAAACCAACACCCCAAAACTTGCAGGCCTCCTTTGTGTGCTGGGGTGCTTTAAAAGGCCACTGAAGGAAATACGGCAGAAAGGCCCACGTTTTTTTCGTGAAGACGGCCATGGCTCCCATAGATGTCCGCCGTGTCGATGTGGCGGCCCCCCTGCAGTAGGTACCACAGCACCTAAAGACACGCATTGCGCATGCCGCGCTGAAAGAGCGCAAGGTAACCTATGGGCTTGGGATGTAGCCAGCCACGATGTAACTTGAACTCCCAGAGTTGAGCCCAAACTCAACCAGCCAACTGGTGGTTCTGCAGGGCATAGGGATCCCAGGGCATGCCTAGGGATGCTAGGGATCCCTTTTCTTCTCAGAAATGGAATGGGCAACGCAGTAAAAGCTTGGAGCGGATGGATGGATATCATGATCTGTTGCTGTAGTTCATGTTTTACGCAACTTGCAAGCACCGTTTTGTCGGTTCTCGGTGAAGCTCAAACTCAGAGTGGCTCCTCCGCCCTTTTTTGTCCGGAGCGCAGTGCGGTAGACGCTCTCGGGATCATAGGCCGTAGGCCGGCAGCACATGCCCAGGCCGTTGGCCGGCATCTTTGCGCCCGAGGGCAGGCCCAAAAAGAGCTCCTTGCTGGGACCTCGGCGTTCACGCGCGCCTTGCCTCGCGCGCAAGGCGCGTGAGGCTGGGGGTGATGGGTCCCGGGTGCCGCGGTTTCAAGGCCGCACATCTGGCTCAAGACATGTCCAGGGTTTGGGACGCTTTTCAACATGGCCCGGGCTTATTGTGTTTCTTTTGAAGGTCAGCTAGGGCTGTTCCCAAGTTTTGTGTTTGCTGTGTTTGCAGTGGAGTCGTCTGAATTTCGAAGTGGGGCTAATGTGGCTCAGGTTTGCTTTGGGGTTCACCAACTCAAACCGTCGACAAACAAAGCAACTTAATCATACCCCAAAGCTGTCTTGCTTCCCCCTGTGCCGTGCAACGGGAATGCCAGGATATATGTAAAAAATGCAGGACCCCTCCTTATTTTTGTGGGCCCCGACACGACAACCTATTAGGATGGACTTGTTCATCCGGGGTCCCCGTTAACATTGCTCCCCTCCACAAAAGGAGGTCGACTTCCCAGGGGAGCTTTCTCTACAAATGGGTGGTTTTGAGTACCCCCTTCCCAAAAGGAGCTTCCTCCACAAATGAGTGGTTTGGGTTCCTTCCGTTCATACTTAGATGTCCTGACACTTAGCCAAGTGGCAAGAAACCCTAGTTGCAACCCATTTACCATGGTAGCATTTTGCGATTCCTCCCACATCTAAGTATCTACAAATGAGTGGGGTGTTGTTGGATTCAACAACAACGACCATTGACCGGGGAAACCAAACAACGCTGACTGCACGCCCAAAAGCGCGGCGCCGGCGTGAGATCGTCTGGCACCGCCTCGGTCTTGGGCTTGCCCATGCCCACCACGGTGAACACCGCCGCGAAGACCGGGCCGATCTGCCCGACCGAACGAAGCGCACGGAGCCTTCTGGGGCCTTTTCAGATCGACACGACGGTCTAAAACAAATTGAGATACACATGGTACTCATGTCAGCTTGCGTAAGCCCCCTGTCGTCTTGCAGTGCTTTTGAGTAAGCCCCCCCCTTCCCTGCCCTGGAACACAAAACACAGAAAAAAAAAAAAACAAAAAAAACGGGAGGTCTCTCTCCCCCTGTCTCTTCACGCCATCTCCTGGTCCAGCTGTCTGGGTACTTAGCCCCTTTTTAATGAGAACCAGCAAGCCAGGAAGAACTCACTTCGATTCTGAGTGGATTGCCCCCCAAAAAAGTCACCCAACTTGTTGTTTGCCACTAAAATGGTCCAAACCCACAAAGTGACTAAAGTTCCCCGCAAAACATTGCGCTATTGGGGGGACACACCCTTGGACATGAACCGAAGCGTTCTTGGACTATGAAGGGGAAAACTGGTTGGTCAGTTGGCTGGCTACTGGCTCTTAACTTTTTCCGCAGCAAAGGGCGCAGGTGCATTAAGCAAGCGCAGCCAGGGCTGACCCACAGAGAAAGTTCCCTCGGATTCCTTACGTCCAGTTCATAAATGGTCTTGTTCCTCATAGTCTCAGATGCCCAGTTTGGATCTAGAAAACAAGGTTTAAAAGAAAAGGGAAGCTTATTTCAGGTCGATTCGCTTTGGGCAACTGAGTAGTTTTGCCCTAGGCTTCAACCTTCAACCTCCATTAAAATAATGTTCGACCCAACTTGGATGACAAGCCTTAGGTAAACCATGGTGGTTATATGTAGCCCATCGTAACGTTGGTTTGAACCCCAGATGTCTACTGGCATCCACCTAATTGATTTTACCTTTTTTCCAGGGCGCTGGGCGCTCCATAGAGTTCCAGTACCCCACGATCACAGCCACGATCAGCACCAAAAACCTAAAGCTCGGCTTCAAACGAAGCCAGCGGAAAAACACACAAGGTTTGAGCAATTAAATGCAGGGTTTGAGGGTTTGCGTTGGTTTTGATGGGTTTTACTGGGTTTAAATGCCTTTAGGGGGTGATTCAATGCAGGTGTTGTCAGGATTTAATGGATAAACACAAGGTTTGAGAGGGGTAAAAAGGTTTCTTGCAAGATATATCCAACAACAACACATGTTTTACGAGGAGGTTGAATGTGCTTGTGTGGTTTTCGTGGTGTTGATAGATTCTGGTTGTGTTAAGTATTTCGGGTGTTTACAATTGGCTTTCAACAAAGATGTTTAGCCGTTTTGGTGGATTGCGGGGGCTTGAGCAGTGCAGTTTGCTTTGTGGTTCTTGAAAGTTGGACAGAGCTTAAATGGATCAGTGATTAGTGGATTATGATGCTTGCTGTAGTGCTGTGCCTTCCAGTGATTTATTGGTTTAAAGTTTTGGTGGTCCTGATGTGTTTCCAACAGTTTCACAAAGCTTTCGGCTTCCCTGCGGGGGTTGTCTCAGGCGATTAGCCCCGCCCTTGAGTGGTTTTGGCGTCGTGCTTGTCTAGTACATGGGACAAAGCCTATCCAGAAAGTCATCTTCCATTTGCTTAAGCCCCCTGGAAAAAATACAAACATATGTCCAGTAGTGATCGATTCCTGTTAAAACCAACAGGGGAAAATAACAACGATTCTTAAACAAATGGAAGCCAATAAGAGCCAAACTTGCACCAGGTCCCAGTGAGAAAGATTCCCTAGCTGCAAACATGTGGATGAGATTGCATCGAGGCCAGGGAATCGAGCCCGGGCTCTGAAAAATTGGCCCGCGATGAGCTCGCCCAACTTTTTTTTCAGGGGGTGTCCTCAATCCAAAACCTGTTTAAGTTTTTGCGATTCTGGCTCCCCCCCCTAAGCCCCGATGAATCAGGGCATTGTGGGAAGCTCAGCCGCTGAAAGAAGCTAAAGCTTGGAGAACTGCCACTATCAGAGCAACATATTCATGTTTAATTGAATACTTTTTTGGGATCGCTGAATCCTGCAATTACGACAGCCATGGAATATGGACAACGTGTTAATTTTGCCCAACCCTAGTTTGGCGATGTTGGTGAAAACCTGAGGGCACTGGGATAGGAATGGGAGACGCCACGACGTCAGCTCACCTGCCCCCTCTCAGCTGGGGCACTTGCAGCATCCCGTAAGGCACCCCATCGCTGTGACCGAGAACCGCCGCAAGACTTCGAGACGATCAAACCCCACTGGGCTTGAGCAGGTCACCTCTGAAGCCAAACCCTGCAAAGCGATGAGCATACGGGCCAAAGAGTCACATGCATTCGTATTTCATGGTCATGGGTGTTAAGTCGGCTGGAAAAATGACGTTTACGGGCTTAGCACCCGGCATCACATCATTTGGCCTCCAAGTGCGCTACCCCATTCGAATTATGGCCCTTGCAGCGACCTCTAGATACAAATGAAATCGGGCTCTCTGAGGTTCCATGCTCTGATCTGGGTGACTAGTCATGGGGTTCTCAGAATCACCCAGTCACACTGAACGGATCTGGATGAATCATAATCCAGCCTGAAATAAGGTGGTTGGAGGGATATTCCCCACATAAACCACCATTTGGGGTGAGGTCGTGTGAGGTCGTTATAATTCACCCAAATGGATGCCCCCTGCACCATGCGAAAGGCCAACTGCAATCTGACGACCGTTACCTTGGAACTGGGTTCAACCAACCCGACTCGATCCGCGCCTGAGCTATGGCATCCGACGCTAGGCGACACGCTGTGACAAGGCAGAAAAGAGAAAAGCAAAGCACCTGCTAGAAAGCTGGACTAAGAAACACCAAGTGACAAGAGGTGAGCGAAACAATTCAATACTCTTACCTTCGGCCAATCAGCAACTCAAAGTCGTCAGTTTTGGTGGATTCCCTCTAATGCGAGAAACCAATCACGGACATCTGCGCATCTTGCCGAGCCCTCGAGCCTGCGGCGATCCGAACATCTCATGGGGCCCAAACGAGGTCCAAGCCAAACAAATCGCCCAGGAAACTTGGGCCCCAAAAGCTAAGACTCCTCAAGTGGGTTGTGATCTAAGGCAGTGCAGCCTGTGATCTAAGGCAGTGCAGCCTGAAGGGTTCCAAGAAATTTGGTGGAGTGTCAGTAGCTGTTGGCCCCCATTTTACGTTTACTCTATCCCGGGCGAAAAACGTGACCTTTTGCAGATGTCAGAAAGAGGGAAGCCACTCCAAGCGGAGGCCACTTTTGTTGCCAACAAAGCGAAAGCTCCTGGACCCTTAAGCCAAGATTTCAAACACCAAAAAATACAGATCAGTCAACCTTGAGCCAAGATGAGCCAAACTTTAGATCCCAAACCCAGCCCCCAGACCCCCTTAGCCGGACACAGAAACAAAACAAACACAGACACATCAGATCAGTTCCGGTCGATTCGCCTAAAGGCGACTCGCAGAACTGCCCGCTGAGGGCCCAACGTTCCTGCCCCCGCCCGGGTGCCCCATGGCAGCCACATACCTCGCGCGGCCCCGCTTACACCGCACACATAAAGCCCCAGACTAGCCCCGCCCAGGGGAAAGATGTCAGCACTCTGGTGGGTTCCATTTCGGACCGGAGGCTAAGTCTGCGGCCTTGTTTTTCACCGAGTTAAAGCAACGGGAAAGGCAGAACATTTGTCCGAGGAAAACAATGGGGAAAAACAAAGGAAGAAACCGACAACTAGGGGGTTATATGAGCCATGGTCAAAACTCCTTATACGGCCTACGGTCATGGTTCCCTGAAAAGGAATCAGTAATACTAAGGATCCTTACTACCAGGTGGATGGCCATCCCGGCTAACTCCAAACCAATCTTGCACCCAAAGAGTCTGCGCAAATTGAACGCGTCTGAAGTTAATAGATTTGTCCTTCCCAGCATCTGATAGCAAGTTGTTGAGTGCCCCTGATGCCGTCCCTTTGCCCGGGTACACGGCCTTATGGAGTTCTTAAGGGAGGGGGGTGTTACGGGGGGGGGGGTAAATTTGAGTAAATGGGCGTGGACTAGGGAGCCCTAGGGAGGCCTAGGGTTCAAATCCTGAATCCGGCTCAGCCCTCATCCTGCTTAGCCGCTTGCCCGCCCACTAAGCTCTTCGCAAAACACTCGGTCCTTTGCGTGTTTTCCAGCAACCCAATTGAAGCTGATTAGTTTTTCTTGGCCCGCTTGCTAGGACTAGGGAGCCCTAGGGAGCCCTAGGGAGCCCTAGGGAAGCTTAGGGAAGCTTAGGGAAGCTTAGGGAAGCTTAGGGAAGCTTAGGGAAGCTTAGGGAAGCCTAGGGAAGGGGGAGCCTTAGGGAAGCTTAGGGAATAGGGTTTTGAGGGGTTCCGAAAAACCCCGGTAAACCCTGTACTTGGGACTCACTTTGGGGAACTCACTTTGAGGGGTTCCGAAAAGCCCTGGTGCCAACGACCTTAAATCTTGGAAGGCTGGGGAGCTTAAGGGAGGCTAAGAATCTTTTAGGGGCCTTTAGGGGTCCTTGGGGAGGGAGCGCTAGGGCTTGCTAAGGAGCTCTAGGAAGTGCTAGGGAGTCTTGGGGGTTAAAAATTACCCCCCCCCCCACTAACGCCCCCCTCCCTTAAGAACTCCATAATGGCCATAACATCGCGCTAGATAAAATCATCTCTTCCCCCTATTAATAAATACGCCCCCCCCCCCTATTATAAATAAATCCCCCCAAATATATATATATATATATATATATAGATATATATATATACACCTTTAATTGGGGTTTTTGGGGTTGGTTTCTTTTTGCTTTTCCAACAATGTGAGGGTTCACATAGGATTTGGAGGAAATGGATTGAATGTAGTTGTTTGGGGCAAACCCAGGACAGAGCTCTGCCCAGGCAGCCAGACCAGACAGACCGCAGCCAGGTGACAAACGCAGTCTGCAGCCAGTTCTTTTACCCCCTTCGAACCCTTTGTGGAGGCACTGGTTTCCTTAATATCCCCCAAAGCATTGAAACTTGTTTGCATTGAAGTCAGGGAGTCAGGGACAACCAGGGACAACCTTTTGGGGAGAGAGTCAAGAACAACCTTTTGGGGAACCCACCAAAAGAACCCAACCTTTTGGGGAAGCCAACCTTTGGGGAAGCAACCTTTTTGGGGAATTGAGGAACCCACCTTTTGAAAAGTCAGGCTGGAAGATTGCTAAAAGTGCCCCCTAATAAGGATTCCAAGACTTTAGTATTGGTTTAGTATTGGCGCAATGGAAAATCAATTGTGCGGAGTGGAAATCTGGTCTCGGGCCCCGGATTTGCATTTATTATCAATGGGGGTCATTCATTAATAGGGGGAGCGGATTACATCATGCTGATCACTAGAAACGGCACAACGATGAAAGTTGTGCCAGAACTCCAAATCTATTCAATTCCTTCAGTGGTACTTGCCAAACAAGGGGTCTGTCTTTTTCAACTTTTTGGGGCTCGCCAAAATGTTTGAATCCCCCGAGAACCTATCAATCCGATTCGGCATAAGGTGAGCTCGCAAAAAAAAAAAAAAGCTGACCGGCCAAGGCGCTTGATGTTCTCGATCTTCTTGAACTCCCCGCGCTTGTCGCGGTCCAGGAAGTAGAAGCCCCCAAACCTCAGCGAAAGGTCGCCCTCCCCAATCCAAAGCGTCGCGGTGGAGCTGATCGAAGTTGGAGAAGAAACATGGCGACATCCTGTTTGTATGTGATTGGGCGGGCTCGGTTTAGGTGCCCGTCTTCAAAGAGCAGGCAAAGGAAGCTCCGAACATGTTGAGGTGATATCCAGTCAATACTCGGGGCCAAAAGGAAAAAGCTTCAAGGGAAACCAAAGTTGGGGGGTCCAAACCTTTCGGAGCTCAGGCCCCCTGACTCCATGAGCTGGCGCGTGAGCTCATTGGTCACCTAACCAGAGCGGGGTTGCAAAATGAGTGGGCTAGGCTCTCAGGTCCAAGTGCCCTGGATCCGAGCCTTTGGAGCGATGGTTTGGAGGTGGTTGCCCATTTGGGGGTTATCCAATATTCTAGGTCCTCCAGTAGAGAGGTTGGAATAAGGGTACCCGACTTTTTGTCTGTAGTCTATTTTAGTAGGGGATCCCTCCCCCAAAAAGGGGTAAAAGGGCACTACTGGGGGACCTAGGCAAAACTCAAAGGTTTCCTTCCGTTCTCCCTGTAGTAGACCAGCCAAACGGAAAGCCCAAAAACTAAGACACGCCCGCGTGTCGAAGAGGGCCCCCGAAATTGCTTTTTGTTTGGGGAAGGTTCTCAAAACGGTGGCTTTCCTTTGTTTCGCTTCAAACAAATTTGAAAAGGACCCGGTCCCAGCAAAAGAACCATCGAACCACTAATCACGCAAATGGGTGCAAGCTTAAAAATGGTGGACCCCCCCCAAAAAAAAAGTGGGTGGCTCAAAGGGGAAACCCAAAGGAACCAACTCGATTGGCACATGGGCCCTCTTGGCGTGTCTCACCCAAAATCAGGAGCCCTATAATTTAGAAGGGAAACCACTTTCACTTCCCTTTTTGGGTGATTATGGTGATTTAAACATGCTGTTTGGCTGATTGACAGTTTCTGGCGTGATTAGATTGAGGGAGGTTGTGCCAGGGTCACACAATTTACGGATGACGCCCGTGGCTCCCTATACTGGGAACACTTACACCGTATCACTTGGTAAGGTCAAACGGTCGGCTTTGGGCAAGCGAATGCTTGCTTACGGACACTCAAAGGTGTGCTCGATAAGAACCACAAACCCGTCTTGGTTTTCCCGAAATGCTACTGATGGCTCCAAATTAGAAGCTACAGGGTTGCTCCCCAAAGCCTGGCACAAAGGCTTGGACAGCCCGATTGTTCCAAAATGAGCCTTGAAGTCTTACCCCAAGAGTGGAGTCGCAGTGAGAACCCTGGGGGGTCCTGCGAAATCTGCGCAAATTGAGCGCCGTTTTTGCCCTTCGGCCTGGTCGTCCCACTTGTTCACCAGGGGCATCGATGCCTCACGTCCGAATCGACTCCTGACCGATTCGAGCGAGAACGAACTGGTGGGATATGGGTCTGTTGACAATCCAAGAACCTCCAAGGATCCCCAACTCAGTTGCCCAAAGGACCCAGAAATAAAAGGGTATTTCAGGTCGAAACCAAAAGGTCATTTCAGGTTGATTTGCTTTGGCCAACTGAGCAAGTACAGGGAGCTCCGCCACAATAGACAAATGGATTTGCGTTCAACAAGTGAAGGCGTTGATGTAAAGTTGGCATAACATTGATCCGGAAAAAACGGGAAGCCTTCCCGAGTTCGCTGAAGGGGCTTGTGGCCGTGCGTGCATTGACGCTACCAAGACATGCCACGGCCATGC